GGATGGGTGGGCACCCTGCACCCCTCGGGGCTGTGGGCCCAGCGGAGCAGCGTGCCCCACGAGCCAGCGCTGCCTTCCTTCCAATGCAGCCGGCCGTCCCGGCACGGCCGTCCCGTAACCATTAACTTATTAACAACTGGTGGAAGAGGAGAGTGGTGGCTTGCAAGGTCAGGGGGTGGTTTGTGCCTGGCGGGGAGTGAACTGCCCCCCAGCTCTGGCTGTGGGGACGGGGGAGGGAGCTGCAAACCCTTAGTTTGTTGTGTGGGCCCCATGGCAGGGAAGGCTCCAGCTGTGGATACTGGTGGGATCCCTGAACCCCAGTGTGCTCAGGGCGGTGCCTCGACTGGGAATGGCCAGATCCTGTGATTTTCTGCAGGGTAAACTGAGGCATGCCAGCAGGGCACAGGGGAGGACACACCAGTGTCTGGGTGCTCGGCTGTGCGCCAGCCATCCTCCTCAGGAAGGATCTCAGAGGCAGCAGTCGAGCTCCAGAGAGGTGCAGTGACTCCAAAACAGTGCCTCAGCAGTCAGCCACCCGTGGTGTGTGGCTGGGGGGTGCAGGGAGGTGAGCATTACCTGGGCGTGCTGCGTGAACAGTGGCCAGATGGAAAAATTAGCAGTGTGGCTAATCAATGTGGTGGATATTAAGGAGCTCAGGGCTGGGGTGTTTGCGTGGTGGGGGGGAGCTGAGCAGGGTCTAGGATCGATACAGCTCATATTAAGTGGATTAAATCCTGGCTGCTGATCTGAACCCTCGCTGCCAGCAGGAGGTGGCAGCTGAGCAGGGACTGTGGGGGTCCCACTGAGATCATTTCTCTTGGCAGCAGGGCCAAGGGGGGACTGTGTGGGGACACACCAGGGCAAGCTGAAGTGCCTGGCGGGTGGCTTAGCACCTCATTGCATCCTTCCTCTGTCTAGTGTGTCAGCTAGGCTAAGGGGACCCAAGCTTCATCTCTAGAAGCCCTCCTGGCTTCCGGAAAGTCATGTCCTGGGTGAATGAATGGTGTTAACAATGTTACTTAATCGTGGGGGGGAGGAGGAGGAGGAAGCACAAGGCCTATTCACGTCCTGTTAATAAACCATGTTCGACCCACTGACCTTTAACCTGCCTGACAGGCCCCGTTATCCCCATCCCGTAAGGAATATAGATGTCGCCATGGCAATGGGATGACAGGAGGGAGCAGGTCCCAGAGCTGCACCCAGCGTGGGGTGTGGGATGAGGACACACGGAGCCAGTCCTGCAGCAGCACCCAGCCAGCAGGGCCAGGTGGAGCTGGGGTGCTGCTGCTGGGGTCCCAAAGCCAGTGGGGTGGCCAAGCATGGACAGGTCCCCGAGGCTGGCAGAGCAGGGCTGCGCTGCACACCGGCGGGATATTGATCCTGGGGCTTGACAGTTTAATACTTCCGTTTATAGAGGAATATAGTTACATCGATGGCGTTAAATGAGTTACTAATTATATCAATACAAACACGATTAAAAGGGTCCTTGCTCATAGGTCACCACAAGCAGGAGCCGCTGGTTGTGTTGCACAACTGCCCCTGGGCAAGGCTCAGACCACTGCTCAAAGGCACATGGCAGGGGGGTGCTCTGTGGGGTCAGGGGTGCCCATCCATGTGGAGAGCCTGTCTGCGGCTATGCAGGCATGTGTGGGACTGTAAATCCCCTTCTGGAGTTCTGTGTTCCTGTTCAGGGCTCTGTGCGCCCATCTGGGCTTGTGGATGCACGTACAGGGTATATATGTCTGTTTGGGGCTGTGCACGCATGTATGGGGCTCTGTTTGCCCATCTGGGGCTGTGCACGCATGTATGGGGCTCTGTTTGCCCATCTGGGGCTGTGCATGCCCAGCTGGGATTTGTGTGTGCTGTCAGGGTTGTGCTTGCCTGTCTAGAGTCGTGTGTTCCGTTCTGGGGTTGTACACGCCCCTCCAGGATTGTGAGTGCCTGTCCAGAATTGTGCATGTATATGTGGGGTTGTGAGTGCCTTTCTGGTGTTGTGTGTTCCATTCTTGGATTGTGGGTGCACATACAACAACGTGCATGTTCCATCTGGGCTGTGCATGCACATTTGGAGTGCGTGCCCAGGATGTGTGTATGGGGTTGTGGATGCTCCTGCAGTCTGGAGTGTGCCCATGGAAGTCTGGGGGCACACCAGATTGCTGTACCTGCCCATGAGAGGCTGTGCACTTCCAGACGTGGCTGTGTGTGCCTGTGTAGGGATTTGTGCCCCTGTGGGTTGCGTGTGCATGTGCATCACAGGCTTTTCCACACTCCTGTGATGTTCTACGTGTCCCTGCAGGGCTGTGCGCACCAATGCAAGGTTGTGCAGGATTGTACATGCCCATTCCACTTTCTGTGTGGCACGAGGGGGATCTGTGTCCCTGTACAGGGTTGTGCCTATGCTTATGTGGAGCTGTGCAATGCCCACAAGGGGCTGTGCACGCTCCTGTGGGGTCGAGTAGACCCACACAAGGCTGTGCACGCTTGTGGGGTTGTGCAAGCCTGGATGTAGTTGTGCATGCCTGTGTAGGGTTTTCTGTGCTCACATGGGCTTGTGCACCCCCATGTGGGATTCTGGCAGCCCATGTGGGGTTGTGCACACCCAGGTGAGGCATGTGTCCATGCACAGTGACTGTGTGTGACCCAGGAGATCTCTTCTTCAGCCTGGGCATCCCCAAATCCCAAGGAACACCCCGTGCATCCCAGGTGTACCCAGGGGCCATGCCGACTTGTCCCCAGTTACTCAGCTCCACTCTCATCTCCACTTAAAAGCTGACCTTTGCTCCCCGTTTGATGTAATGTGTTTTTGCATCTCAGTGCCCCACAGATAAAAGGTTAGAGGTTAATAAACAGTGGAAAAACAGAACCTGTCCCTTGGAGGTCACACCTGTTTTGGGGGCTGGAGTCAGTAGCGGCCTGCTCTAGGGGGGAATCCTGCCTGCATCCATGGGAGGGGAAACACGAGTGGCACCCAGGGCAGAGGTGTGTGGGTGCTGAAGCCCATCCACTAGGTGACCCTCAGGAAGGCCATGGCTTCACCTTGCAGTGGGATGAGTGGTAGTTGCCAGTTCTGGGGGTTTGCCCCTGCCTTGACAAGCCAGATGTCAGGGGATGTCAAAGCGCTTGGTGTGGAGGCCTTCCAGAGGCAGGGACAGGCAGGAAAATGCAGGCAAAGCCTCCTGACACAGCCTTCCTGGGGCTGAAATCAAAGCAGCCTCCTGGAGCTCTGCTCAGAGCCTGACCTAGTTACTGCAGTCAATGGTTCAGGGACCTCCTGGAAAAGAGCAGGTGATGGGGAGCGAGGAAGGGAACACTGCGGTGGAGAGGGACACAGCACTGGTACCCAGGGTCAGGGCACTCCAGGAGCGCCCAGCTACAAGGAGGGGATAGGTAAGTGGGATCCAGAGAGTGGAGAAGCAGTGCAGAAGGAGCTCCATGGAGCAGGCACTCAGCACCTGTGGGCAGGGTGGGAGTCTGGCAGGTGTACCCCTAGATAAAGTTAGGGACAGGCAGTTAGCACCCATCTGTCTCTGACAAGGGACAGGCAGCTGGCACCTGAGTTAGACAGGGGACTGTGTTAGGTGTGTCTATTCAGTGGTGTGAACCATGGGGTCTGTAGAAGCATCCTCACATCCCTGTAGGTCCCCACATTCCCCCATCCCCACATCCCACATCTCCATGTCCTCAAAGTCTCTACACCCCACATCCCTACATTCCCATGTGCCTGTATGTGTGTCCCCATTGCATCCCTGGATCACCCCATCCCCGTGTCCCCTGAATCCCTGCAGACCCATATCCCTACATTCCCGTATCTCTGAATTCATGTGTCCCCACGGCATCCACCCCCATCCCCACATCCCCCTGTGCCTGCAGCCTGACGACCCTTAAGCATAGCTCCCTTTATCTGTCTGGTGAGTAATGTTCTGTGTGGAGCGGGGTAGTGCTCCCTTCCTATTGTTTTTTAACAGCCTTTCCCAGCACAATTGTTTTTTAAACGACTCTATTTTGTGCCTGACTTTGTTTTCCAGCTTGCATTTCTTTGTATACGTTTTGGAAATCCATTCTGGACTGCTGAGTTTTGTTTCTTTTCAATGGCTTTAAATTCTTGCCGGGCTTGCTGGGAGGAATTGGTGTCTATAGTGTCTTCGATTGGTGCTAATTTTTCCTTCATGTGCTCTGACTTTTACTGCTGGGCCATCGATCTGGCAGGCTCCAATTTGTCATGGTCACTCAGGCGCTGTGCTGGAATCAGGCGAGCCCGGCTTTCACAGGGATCCAGCACTTGGTGTCCCTGCTGTAGGGGCTCCACTCACCTCCCCAGTGCTGTCCCTCAGCTCAGGCTGTGTCCGTGTGTCCAGACCATCCACCATAAGTGTCTTCACAGCCACACATGTTTGTGTCTGTGCAATCCTGGGCACATGGCAGCCCCAGCACTTGCAGCTCCCTTGGTAGTACCCAGGGGTACGGTCAAGCCAACTTTTCCTTCCCCAGGGTGGAATCATCCCCCACTGTTCATATGGGCTTGTGTTCCTGTGAGGAATGAGGGGTGATGAGGATGCTGATACCATGCTGGGGCTTGGGAATACCAACACTTGGCAGTGCCAGAGCAGAGCTGAGCATCCTGATCCCGAGCTCCTGTCTGGGGCTTGGGGTTTGCTGATGTTTCTGGGCTGTGATTCTTGCATCTAAGAGGGTGAGGGGCCAGACAGACTGAGGCACAGAGCCAGCCTCTCTGCAGCAAAGATTCAGAATAGTCATTGGTCTGTGGGGAGCCCATGTCAGACCCGAGGCACAGGGAGAGCCCACACCCAGGCAGAGGATGTGTCAGGGGATTCTGTTAGGGGTGCACAGAAAGCCTCTTGTTGCTGGCAGGGCAGGCAGGTGGAGCCAGGGGTGATGCCAGGTTCTGGCACAGGCTGTGCTCAGCCCCAGGCACTGCTCCCCTCCCCATTCTCACCTGCATGTGCTGGAAGCACTGATCCCTCTCTCTCTCCTGCCTCCAGCTCTATGAACTGGATGAGGACCCGAAACGCAAGGAATTCCTGGATGACCTCTTTGGCTTCATGCAGAAGAGAGGTAAAGGTGGGCGGATGGGGTGGGTGCCACTGCCACCCCTGCCTCGGCTGCTGGTGGGGGGCTCATGGTGTGTTGTTCTCAGGCTCTGAGCTGCTCCAGGTCTCTGCAAATCCCTCAGGCAGGTGTTGTGGTGCTCCCCCTGGGCCTCCCCCACAACCCCAGGCTGGGGCATCTGTCCCAGATATCCCATTATGGATGCCCAGCAGGGATGCCCGCTGGAAACACCTGGTGGGGGTGTCCATTAACATACCCCCTTGGTGACAGGCATTGACAACACCCCTTAATGATGCCCATTAGCAGTTTTCAGGACGTTTTAGGGATGCCCGGTGGGAATGCCCTTGGCAGTGCCCTTTAGAGCTTCTTGTGCAGCGCCTGGTGAGGATGCCCACCATCAGCATCTCAGTGATTTGCGGAGTGGGGCCGGCAGTCCAGGCAGCGCCGGGCACCCAGGGGTTAAGGGCTCGCCAGCCAACCCATCCTCATCGGAAATCTTTGCTATCGGCATGGGGAGCCGAGCTGGCTCCCTGGGACTCGATAAATGCTTTAACCTTCGCCCTCCCCGGCCGGGCCTGCGACAATTAAAAGTTGCCGAGCGCGGGCGTGTGGCCGGCTGTATTAATTAGAGCCTTTTGCTGGTGTGTGGATTAATGAACAAGCCGCTCGATAGCCAGTAAACCCCAGGCAGAGGTTAATGCTGAGCTAATTAACGGGGAAAGGCTGAGGGGGGTGCAGGAGCTTTGGGGCTGGCTGTGCATGGGGTGAGGGAGGGCAGAGGGGGCAGTCACCTGCATGCCCTGCACACTGGAAGGGTGGTGAGGGTGCCCACCTGGCTGTGGGGCTGCAGAGATTGACTTTTGGGTTGGGCTGGGACACCACAAACCTGTTGCAGACACGGGAGTGTGGTGAGTGGCTGGCACGGCCAGAGGGCTCACCCTGGGGCCAGCTGTAGGTTGTGGGTGGGCTGGGTGCTGCCCCATGGGTGCCCCCTGGCCCTGGTGCAGAGCTGTGGGGAGTGAGTGGGAGCATCAGCACTGCCTCGGCCCTCCAGCATCCATCAGCTGCAAGATTCATGGGCTGTTCTGCAGCTTCATTATCTCTCTCTCTCCAGAGCTAATTAACTCCCTCGCTGTTGGGGCCGGGGCTAATTAAGTAAGTGCCTGCTGGTGTGGGGAGGAGGGAGGGAGCCTAATGCTTCCTTGACAGTGCTGCTCCACATCCCTCTGTGTCTGGATGTCCCACTCCTGTGCCCTCCATCCCTTCTGTCCTGCCTCTCCTCTGAGTGGGGGCCATCCCCCTGGGCAGGACAGGCAGGGTGTGGGTGCACAGGTGCAGGTGTGCAGGGATGGGTGTGCATGAACCTTTTGGAGGAGACAGGGATTTTGGACTGGGGTACCAAAGAGAAAGGGGACAGAAGGGCTGAGAGGCAAGGACAGCATCCCAGGGGTCATCAAGAGCTGGGTAAGAAGCAGCACCTGAGAACCACTGCAGGTGCAGCTGGGGCACCCAGAGGTGCATGGGCAGGGGACTGTGACACCCAGGCTGTGTCCCCAAGGTCTCCAGGAGGGATTGATGTTCACAGAGTGAGCCCTGCTGAAAGGGACTGCATCCCACCTGCTGTCTGTTGGGACTGTATCAGCCCTGACATTTGTCAGCAGAGTGGAAGATTTGTAGGGCTGAAGAATGGGTTGGGGGGCAGACGTTCTGAGGCCAGCCCATGGCACAAGGGCACAGCTGGCCCTGGTGGCTCATGGAGGCCATGCCACCACCACCATCAGACACAGGCAGTGGGGCAGCTCATAGTCGTGCCCCAGCTTTTGTGGCACCTCAAAGGCAGTAATCAGGGACAGAAGGGAGCTATTTCTACATTTACTACTACTATTTCTACATCTACTTACTGGGGTCTGCAGCCCCCCCCCCCCCCCTCCATTTCACCACCAAGCTGCGTGCCCTGCTGATAACATGGGGCTATTAATCAATCAAGGTGCTAATTGCAGCTCCACAATGGCTGCATCACCTCCCTGGGCTTTTGTGGCCTTCTCCCTGGCTGGGGCTGGGGCCATCACTCTGTGGGGATGCAGACAGGTGCCTTTGTCAGTGGGACAGGCATCAGCCACACACTCCACACAGCCCTGAGATTAATGGTGAGGTACTTTTGTAAGTCACCAAGGCTGGAGATGGGAGAAGAGGAATCCATGGGCCATTGGCTAGGGGCTGAGACCCTGAAAACTCACTGTTGTGGGGGTGAGGAAGAGCCCTCAAACTGGCCCCCGAGGTGATGGTCTGGTGCCAGCAGCCCTGAGCAGAGCTGGTGAGCTGCTGACAGCAGATGTCAAGTCAATATCTCTGCCTTTCTCCCAGGAGGATAAACTCCTCTCCCCCTTCCCGACCTGGTGAACAACACAGACACACACAAAAAAAAAAGTTAAATGAACTCAGTAAAAGAATAAAAAGAGCTCATTTTTCAGGCTTATGTGAAGAAGCCAAGCCAATATCAGGGCCATAAATTAGGGATGCTGGAGGATGGCGGTGAATGACGGCTTCGTTTGAGGGGCGAAGCGCAGTCGTGACAGCCTCCCTGGGCCAAATGGATGGCTTTCCAATACTGCCTGTGCCCCGCCACCTCGCAGGAGGAATAAATAGGGGATGGAATGGCACAGGATGGAACAGGGTGGGATGGGATTTGGTGCTTGTCCCTCCTCTGCCCAGCTTCCAGCAAATGCCCAGACCATCATCCCAAGGAGGCATGGAGCACAGCAAGGCTGTGAGTTTATTGGGGGTGCTGAGAAAGTGGGGAGGGGTTTTTAGCCAGCCTTGGTGGCTGTGGAGACCATGCTGATCTATATTGAGCTCACAGAACCCTGGTGAACCCATGTTCCCCATAGCCTCGTAAAGGAGGATGATGGTGGGGCACCAGGCATCAGGGTCTCTGCTGAGGGCAGTTGAAGAGGATTTGGGGTCAGGTTTCTTGAAGAGAGGCACTAAAGTTCTTTAAGCAGAGGAAACTTTTGGGGCCATCTGTAGGGTTAAGAGGTTTTTCAGGAACTCTTTGAAAGTGTCTGGAGCTGGAAGAGAAAACCTCTCCATAGAGAGATAGTGGGGTGAGTGCTCCCAGAAGGGTTGTGAGGATCTTCCCTCCTCAGAAAGGTTATAGGATGGGTCCCTTTTTAAAGTGTACAGGGAGTCTCTCTTTATGGGGCTCTGAAAGAGCATTACAGAGTGAATCATTCTAGGATGCTCTGAGAGATTTCATAGATTGGTGCTGTACAGATTGCTCTGAGAATTGTAGGGAGACAACCTTATCTAAGGGTGTCTGGAGGGGGTACTTTGCCCATCCCACTGAGGCTCCATATCCCAGATGAGAGCATACCCAGCTACACTGACAGCTCCATCAGAGGTGACCCTCTGCCAGCATGCTGAGGTCTCCCCTGCTTTTTGGCCACTCTCCCAGGCACTCTAGGGTCCTACCTGCATGCCAGGTGCCCATGGGTGCTCACCTGGGCATGGAGAGATGTGCCTCCCATTGTGGGTACCTGCAGTGACAGTGGGGGCAGGATGGGGGCTGTGATCCCAGGTGCAAAGGGCCCTGTGGGCAGCCCCCCACACCCTCTTGTGTCTCTGTGTGCCTCTGGAAGGAACACCAGTGAATCGCATCCCCATCATGGCCAAGCAAGTGCTGGACCTGTACACGCTGTACCAGCTGGTGACAGACAAGGGTGGCCTGGTCGAAGTCATCAACAAGAAGATCTGGCGGGAGATCACCAAGGGCCTCAACCTACCTACCTCCATCACCAGTGCTGCCTTCACCCTCCGCACACAGTGAGTGCCTGGCAGCATGGCAGGCGGGGAACACCTCTCCCGGGACACCCTCTGGCTCAGATGTCCCAGAGCCCTGGATGGGGTCGGACATGGAGTACCACAAAAGTGGTTGGAGGGCTCTGCTCCTTCCCAAGGGCTCTTTGCTTAGCACAGGGCAGGCTGGGAGGTGCACGGCCGTGGATCTCCCCCTGGCTCTCTCCCCATGCAGATACATGAAGTACCTGTATCCCTACGAATGTGAGAAGCGGGCGCTCAGCTCTCCCGGAGAGCTCCAAGCTGCCATCGACAGCAACCGTCGGGAGGGGCGCAGGCAGACTTTTGGCACGGCACTTTTCAACTACTCTCCAGCCAGCACCCCAACCCTGCTGGGCACCCCCAAAATGCCTCTGCCAGCTCTTAGCATCTCCACTCACAGCTGTGGCCAGCTCAGCCAAGTGCACAGCATTAAGAAAGGTGGGTGAGGATCCTGTCTTCCTAGAGATGGACACTGCTGCAGCAGCAGGGATGTTTCCCTGTCAGCTGTAGCCCTTTTTGCTGAGGGAAAATAGGAACAATGTTGTTCTTTTAGTCCCTTTCAGGGTGTGAAACCTGTGTATTTTCTCTGGCTTTAGAGAAGGAGTTGGGATGTTGGGAGTGGTGGCCTGGCCTACCCCATTGCTGGTGGGGTGGAGTTGGCACCACTGGGGATGGTGAGGTGGCGTGGTGATGAGGGACCCACTGAGCTCTCTTGGTCATTGCAGAGGACGGAATGCTGGCAGCATCAGTGCCGGGGCGCATTGCTATCCCAGTGGGACTGGCCAGCCACCATCTCACAGCAGCCCAAGCAGCAGCTGCCTCACAGGCAGTGGTGCTGGAGCAGCTGCGGGAGAAGCTGGAGACAGGGGAGCCCCCAGAGAAGAAGGTGGCCCTGACTGCAGAGGAGCAGCAGCGGCTGGTGCAACACGCGCTTCAGCACAACCTCCTGGCCATGGCCTCCCAGTTCCCCATGAACATCAAGATCTCCAACCGAGGTAAAGACATGCAACACCTCAGCCTTGGCCATCCCGTTCTCTGGCATCCGAGGTGGTGGCAGCAGCAGCCACTGGAGAGGAGTGTGGATGCCCATAGGGACTGCGTCCCGGCTTATCTGTCTCGGACAGGTTCTTGTTTCTGTTTCGCTTAACACTCATATTGGTATTTCCTTTCCCCAGATGACAGACAGGAGACCGCATTGAACCTGTCCACCAACAGCATTAGCAGTATCAACATGTCAATAGAAATAAATGGAGTTGTCTACACAGGTAAATAGAAGGGCCGCTTGGCCCGTGTAATTGCGGCCAGGAAATCCAATAACTTATAGCCACTGCCTGGCCAGCAAGTCCTTCCTTCAATCTGATGTCTTTACTATAAAATCCATCGTAATGAAGTGGCAGGGCTTGGGGAGAGGGGGCAGGAGGAGGAGGGGGTTGACAAGGATGGAAATTGACCCAAAGCAGGTGCTAGCGATGAAGGGCTAAAGTGGGGGGGAATAGATGGACAGACTCTGGCTGAGAAGTGACCCTGCACCTAAGGTCATTCCACACCCCAGGGTCCCAAAGGCAGGGCTTGGATTTGTGGTCAGCCCAAAGCTTGTGTGCCCAGAGGGTCTCTGGCTGAGTGTGGGGCTTGGCTGATTGCAGAACATGGTGCACAGAAAGATGTTGGGGTGCTTTGGTGGAGCAGAGGATCCTTTGTGGTGCCAGTGTGCACCCCAGATCCCTATCCCATGCTCCCCAGATCTATGCCTGTCCTGCTGAGAGACCCCACAATTAAAATCAATGGTTTTGCCTTCAGAATTTAAATATTTAATGAGCAGGAAAGGTCAGGGCTAAGCCTTATGTGGCGCTGCCAGCTAAGAGGGCCCTGGGCCACCTCACAGGCTGCCCCATGCAGGCAAGGATGACTGGGTTGGGGGAGGCACCACAAGTGATGACAGGGCTGAAGCCCCATGAGTCTTTGTCCCACCCTCCCCAGCCTGGGTGCTGGGAGCCAGGTGAGTCGATCCTCCACCCCTGGGCTTGCCCTAACCTGCTTGTTCTTGTCCCCCAGGTGTCCTATTCGCCCGCCGGCCCTCAGCCACCCTGGCACCTGGTGGAGGGAGCACCCAGACCCGTCCAAACCCCATGCCTGCCCCAAACCCCCTGCTCCCAGCGTCCTCCCAAAGCCACACTCCCACTAGCACCTCGCTGTAAGGCAGATGTGCCCCCACCCTGACAGCAGCTGGGGGTGCCCAGAGTCTGGGGGACTGAGCTGTGGGACCCAGCTGGACCACCTGGGTGGGATGGGCAACCCAAAGGTGCCTCTTGCTGCAATACTGAGCTGTGTCCATGCAAGGCTGTGGACACTCACGCGGGCCCTTTTGTCCCTTATCCCCATGTGTGCCCTCTGACACACACACACACACACACACACACACACACTCACACACACACACATTCCTTCCCAAGGCACCACCCCCAGGTGACCGTCCCATACATCTCCTGCTGCCCTGATGCCTGGGGGACCCCCGGGACCTGCATGCTGCATCCCCTACATCCTGCAGCCCCTAACCCACCTCGCTGCACGCACTGCTGCCCCTTTACACCCCTCAATGCATACACTGTATCCCCTGCACACACCCTTGGTGCCCACGCTGCCTCTCCCTACGCACCCTCCGTGCAAACACTGCAGGCATGATATGTGCAGCCCCTATAAATTGTAGCCCCTATGCACTGCAGCCCCGATATACATACTGCACCCCCTGCCCACTGCAGACACCCCTACCCAGTCCTCCTGTGCTGCCTGGGCTTGCTGTCCCTGCCCTGAGACACCCCAGGGTGGTGGCATCTCAGCCCCCCAGGTCCTCAGCTCAGGGGGATCACCCTGGGGGGGGCAAATAATGGGGATATTGGTGGGAATGGTGGGGGTGAAGCTTATTGGGGTGTGGCTGGGGTTGGGGGTTTATGTCGGGGAGGGCAGGGTTGCCCAGCAGAGCCCCCCCCACCACCAAAGAGACTGCCTGGGTGCCAGGGTCCCCAGATGGGTGACAGGGGGAGAAGATGGCACTCTGAACTACCTCGTTGGGGCTGGGCAGGCGCCTCCTCCTCCTGCGTGTGCCCCAGGGTGCCAAAGCAGGGGAGCATGGAGTGGTGCTCTCCTCTACCTCAGCGCGGGGGCTCGCGGCTCCGGCTGCTCCCTGCGCTCCTGCCGCGGCCGTGACTCCATCTGACTATTAAAGGAAACAAACTCCTGAACCAAACCGCTGCTGAGGCTTGTGTGCAGGGCATGGTGCCACCCATGCTGCAGGGCCCAGTTTGGAGGTGCAGGACACCCCAACATGCTGGGGTAACACCTGTGGTGCCTGAGGTTTCATGGCCCACCGTGAAACCTCAATTTTGGGGAGCTCTGAGTTGCAAACGGGTGCCCTATGCCCACCAGATATGGGCTGGATCAGACAGGGCACCAACTCCAGCTGTGCCAGCCAAGCTGTGGGGCTTGCCCCCATGAGCCCCCAGTGGCAGCTCACCCATGGGTGGGCATCCTGTTAGGCTGCTCTGTGCCAGGAAAGGAAACATGACCCTGGAGCTGCTGAGACCATGTCCATGGGGCTGTCGGGTTGGACCTGGTGAGATGCCAGCAGTGATACACCAGCCTGGCACCTGAGCAGTGTCCACAGAGGACACAGGTGACCGTGGTGGAGCTGAGAGGCACACATACATGTGGGTGGTCACTTGTGCTCCCTTGTACAAACTCAGTGGCATGCACATGCAGACTGTCACACTCAGGCTCGCACATGGGCTTCCACACGTGTGCAGACACCTATACATTTGAAGAGGCACAGAGGACTCCCGTGGGGACAGAAACTCCTGTTTGAGTCCCCCCCTTGGGTCAGACTCGGACCCCTGGGGACACCTAGCTTCCCAGGGACAGCCGCAGTTCCTCAGGTACAGCCCCACCTCAGCCCTTCGAGGACAGCCCCCAGTCCTCCGGGAGCAGCCCCAGCCCCTCGGGAGCAGCCACAACCCAGAGTCCCGCCGACATTTCTAGGGCAAGGGGGGACCCCAGCCCGGACCCCGAGCCCACCCGGGGAGCGGTGTCGCTGTCCAGGGTGCTGCAGCAGCGCTGCCGGCCCCAGACCCAGCCTCGGGACACGGGGGTGACACGGAGGGTCGGGGTGTCACGCTGGGAGGGCATGGGGGTGACACAGAACCCCTGCAGAGGAGGATGGTCTGGCGGGTCCATCCCTGTGTTCCGGCCACCGGGGATGGAGGAAGGCTCATGAACAACAAGGAGTGTGTGCGTGTGTGTGGGGGCTGTTTGTGAGTGTACCAAGCAGAGCTGGAGTGGGATTGATGCAGCCTTAATTGGGGTCTCGTGTCCCTTTGCACTGCTGTGAAGCGCTGGCCGCGGCTCATCGAGCAGCGCAGCCCCAGGGAGCCGGCAGGGCACATGCGGGCCTGCGTCCCCACTCATTACCGGGCTCCGAGGGTGATGTGCGCTTCCGTGCTCCCTGGGGAGCTCGGGGACACGGCTGCTGTCACCTGAGCAACCAGCCCTGATTGATGCCTGCTTCCCCGTGTCCTGCAGGGACTGTAATTGAGCACGAGAGAGAAGGTGGAGGATGAGGGGACAATCCAGCCCAGCTGATGGAGCATTGAATCCAGCTGCAGGGCTGTGCCCGGGGCAAGTGGTTGAACCAGTGTGCCCCTGCAGGCTGCAGGGATGGGGATGTGGCCAAAGGCCTGCTCTCATTCCCAACGAGCAGGGAGCAGGCTCCATGTGCTGGGCTGTGGGCAATCGGTGCTGCAGCTGCAGCTCCCTTCTATGATATTTTCTGAAAATATCTGATATTTTCTATGATATTTGCTGAAAAATCCTTTCCTTAGGATTTTTTTTTCTCCTGAGAAGCTGAGAAGCCTCAAGAACAAAATGTAAACAATAATTATCTGCTGCTGTGGAATGCAACAGGATCTGTGATTGGTCTCATGTAGTTGTTTCTAATTAATGGTCAATCACAGTCAGCTGGCTCGGCCTCTCTGTCCGAGACACAAGCTTTTGTTATCATTGCATTCTTTTTCTATTCTTAGCTAGCCTTCTGATGAAATACTTTCTTCTATTCATTTAGTATAGTTTTAATATAATATATATCATAAAATAATAAATCAAGCCTTCTGAAACATAGAGTCAACATTCTTGTCTCTTCCCTCATCCTGGGACCCCTGCAAACACTGTCACAAGGTGTTGCAAAGGATGGAACTCTGGATGGAACTCAAAGGCTTGCAAACTGGATGGAACTCTGAAGGGTGGATGGGGACAGTCCCAAAGCCCATCCCAGTGCTGCCTGAGTTCCTCAGCTCAGGGTGCTGGGTGGTCTGGGACCCTCCAGGACAGGCATTTGTGTGTTTGGGGCATCTCCCATCGTGCTGGGCCCAGGCCACGGCAGGGCTGGTTCCCTCTGAGCACAGGCCATGGCTTAGAGAAGCAGAGGCCATGGCTGTGTGCCCAGCCCTGCCCCCTGCAGCCCCCAACCCCTGCTGCAGCCCCCGGGCGCTCCTGCTAATGAAGCCGCTTCTGTTTGTCGCCTTTGTGGAACAAAGCTCAGCTCCTCGCCCTCTGAAGATCCCAGGCATCGATCCCTGGGAAGAAAAGGCAGCGCACACGAAGCCTCAGCCTTCTCCTGCTGCCTGAGCACTCTGCACAGCTCCTGCAGGAGATCTGGGGGGGCGTGAGGGCTGCCGGGGCACTGGGCCACCCCACAGCTCCCGCCTGCATCCTGTACCATGCTCAGTAGGAATGCACCTGTAGGGACAATGATTTTTCAGGGCACAGCGGGTTTAGCTTTCAGCAGAGGGCAATGGGAGGGTTCCCCAAAGCCATGCAGCCCACATTATCAGCGATGTTAGCAAAATACCTGCTGTTAGCTGATGGTTTTTACCTAAAGAGTGGCCTGGAACCTTGACATGGTGTTCCCTGGTGGCTGGGCTATGGCAGTGCGATACCCAGGCCCATGTTCACCCTGGCACTGCTGAGGAAATTTGTACATGATGGGGCTGAGCCCTGGGATACAGAGGATGACATCAGAATGTGCTTTGAAAATTCACAGAATCAGCAGGGCTGGAAGAGACCCCTTGAGATCACCCCCCTGCCAAGGCAGGGTCACCTGGAGCAGGTGACACAGGAACACATCCAGGTGGGGCTTGGATGTCTCCAGAGAGGGAAACTCTACAACCTCCCTAGTCAGCCATTCCAGTGCTCTGTCACCCTCAGGATAATGAAGTCCTTCCTTCTGATTTAGCTTATGGCCATTGCTCCTCATCCTGTCACAGGGCACCACCGGAAAGAGTCTGGCACCATCCCCTCTGACACCAGCCTTTGATATATTTATATGCATTTATGAGATCCCCTCAGTCTTTTCTCCAGACTGAACAGGCCCAGCTCCCACAGTCTCTCCTCAGAAAAGAGATACTCCAGACCCCAAATCATCCTTGTGGCCTCTGCTGGATCCTCTCTGGTATCTTGTTGTTTTCCCTGTGCTGAGGAGCCCAGAAGGGGACAGAGCACTCTCGATGTGCCCTCACCAGGGCTGAGCAGAGGGCAGGATCACCTTCCTTGACCTGCTGGCCACAGTCTTCCCTAGGATACTTCTTGCTCTGCGGTTGGGAAACCCTCTGGACTTTTTCTGTGGCAGATGCTGCTACTATGAATTAGTTTCATCCCTGTCAGAAATCCGTGTAATTGTGAGTGCCAGCCCGGCTGGGGTTGGCTGCACCATTCATTAGTGCTTCTCTTCTTCGCGAGTGTCACCTGAGGCAGTCGATAAGAGAAAGGTGAACGCGGGCAGAGGCCTGGGGGAAAGCCGGCGGCAGCCTCCCGGATTTCAAAGGGCCCGCATCCACACGGATCGCTACATCAATTCCTTTTAATACATCCCAGCGCCTCTTTCCTGGAGGACCACGCAGGAATGAAGCGGCCATCGACTGCCCTCCCAGGCGGCGGGAGGGCTGCACGCCTCCCTCTGCAGTGCAAATCGCCATCGACCGCGCCGCGTCCTCCGAGAGGGCCCCGCTCCGCCAGACGCGGCCTCCCCTCCCGCCTCCATGGCAACCGCGGTCCTTAGCAACGCGCCGCCATGGCAACCGCCGGGCGCGCCGGAAGTGAGGCGCGGCCGCTTCCGCCAGGCAGGAAGATGGCGGCGGGCGCTGCGGAGCTGCGG